GGGGAGGGGGGCCCCGCCCGCCCCACGTCAGCCGGGGCGGGGCCGCCCAGCGCCTTGTCCCAGCCCCCGGCGTCCCGGGAATCCTCCGTCCTGCCCCCCGGCCCATGGCCACGGGAAAGCAGCCGGAGCGCCCCTTCCCACGGCCCCTCCGCCGCCCTGCAAACCGGGCTCCCGCAGGACAGCGCACGTGGCTCCGTAAACAGCGCGGAAAAGCCACCGAGGGGGAGCGATTGTAACGGGGGCGGCTCGCACCCAAGCAATCAACCCCCCCAACTGTACTTTAACGGGGGGGGGGGCATGGATGTGGGAGAGACCGGGAATGAACGCTTCATTTACTGCCTGGAGGCGAAGGGGACTGAGTCTGAATCGGAACCGTTTTGGCTTCCTGCACAGTCTGTGCAGCTACATGCACCCGCAGAGCGCCCGAGCAGCAATTTTCTCCCTAAAACTGAACTGCAGAAAAGTTAGGTGACTAGCAAGTGGCAAGCTACGACCCCTCCCCCCAGTGGAAGAGACTGTACAGTCCTCTCCATCAAGTCAGACTTTTCTTCAAGGGCTCGCTTCCTGTGGGACTTTGGACAGTTTAGCTCATACTCTTAGGTGCTTACACTTCCAATATGTGTGCATTCCACAGGCCCAGTCTATCAGTGAAAACAAATCCTAACCGGATTTTTAAGCATCAGTTAGTATGCCAGAAGTCACAGCTCTTTTGTTTGTAACAGTACAAGGAACAAACCAGGTAGCGAATTCATCCCTAGACAGAACCCAGTATTCAGCACAGCCACTCTCCTCTACAGAAATGCCAACAGGTATCACTAGAATTCCAGCTTCTCGAGCATCAGATCAAGGAGCATGGGAAGGCGAGTGAAACAGAGAGGACGTATACACTGCACCACAGGCTTGCCTTTGGCATGGAGAATTACCTTTCCCCCCCTTGGTACTAGGATAATTTCTACTTTGATCAACTTGCAAGAGTTATGAATTTATCAGTGGCTGGTAAGAATACAGTTTCTCCATTATTTTAATGGAATTAAAAGGGTGAAAGAAGAAAAAATGAAAGCCAGAATGCAAGCACGAAAACCTGTAGAGGGACACGTTGTGGAGAACACAGTAAAGGGGCGGGGGAAGAAGCACACACTCCTAGCTATGTCTACACTGGCAGGTTATTGCGCAAGAAGGGCCATTCTTCTGCAGTGTCCACACTGCCCACTCGCTCTTGCGCAAGATTTACAGTAAAGCGTGGTAAGAGAGGGCTTCTTGCGCAAGAGCTAACCTCTTTTTAAACAGGTGTAAGTCTCATAGACTTTAAGATCAGAAGGGACCATTATGATCATCTAGTCTGACCCCCTGCACAGTGCAGGCCACAGAATCTCACCCCCCCCCCAGAACCCTTGCACAATATGTTCTTGTGCAAGAAGCTGCCAGCGTAGACATAGCTCTAGGGTTGCCAGGTACTTTCACAAAAAAATCCCAAACATGGCGGGAGAGGGGGAACCAAATTTGTTGAGCAAAAAAAAAAAAAAAAAAAAAAAAATCCCCCTTGGCCTTCTATCCAAGAAAAACAGAAAATACATTTTTTTTTAAGTGGACAAAAGACAATTACCAGGCTGTCTGGGCAAACACCGGACACCTGGCAACCCTACACCCTTCCTCATAGATTGGGGAGTGTAAGTAATGCAGTCTGCGTTATACCAGTCAGACTAGATGATCACTATGGCCCCCTTCTGTTGTTGGTACCTATGAAGATGTTCTCTAACAGATTATTCTTGAATTATTTTCTATAGAAAACAGTGTATGTAGAATGTAAATCACTGACACACAGCATGCTTAATTATCAAACTTTAATAGATAAGACTAATTTTACAGAATAAAACAATAGGATAACCAGTCAAGGTTACACTTAAAAAAAATCCAGCAGTGCAAATCTAAGACTAAATATTTGTCATCTCCCCCTCCTCCAAAATAGGAAATAGATTATTTTAAAATACCATAATTATGGTACTTACATATTCCATTTTATAATAATTCTGCAGTGAAAACTTAAACATGGTCTTAAAAAAAAAAAGATATAGAACCAAAGAATGAATTACCTAGAATATGGGTAAAATATAGTAAACGTCTTTGAGCCACATAAAGCACATTTTTTGCTGGAAGGTAAAATGACCATGTGGTCTACATATGACTTGCTACAGCGATCCTAGCCTCCCTCCAATGAAGTGACCCTGACAATAAACATGATAAAAAAAGTCAACTCAGAACTGGCAGTGGAAGTATGGAGTATGAATCTCCAAATTAAATAGATGTCTTGGGAAAGGAGAGAGAGAGGAGTCAAGAGTGAAAGGAGAGTTTGAAAGCAAAACTTTCAGCACGGAGTTGGCACCCCAACCAACTGAATCACAGAGTTCTGAGCATGTGCTCTGAGGAGAACAGGCCAGTGGCCTGATAGTTGCATCACCGATTATTCTGAGGGACAGTTGAAGTCAGATAGGAGAAAAAGGAAGAAATCACCACCAAAATATGGCACCTTTGATATAAATGGTATTGAATAGGAACTGTCTATCTTTGGCCCTTACCATATGGAAAGGTGGATACAATCTGTGCATATGCTACAAGGGTATTGCATGTTATCAGTTTCTTAACTAATCCTTTCCTGAACCACTTTTTCTTTTTCTCTTGTGACTTTGCCCAACTAACCACCACAAAAGAACCCTTATCCTAACTAGTAATACATTATCCTTGAGATATACTTACTCTTGCATGATTTAATTTAAGGTTGAAATTAATGTGGGAAACTTACAGGTATTATACATTCTTCATACAAAAATGACTGAGCATAAGAATTGGTGCAGCTGATGCTTGTGCCCAGTAAAAATGTAAAAGCATAGGTTTGTACTGATATGCAAATACCATCAGTAAGATGCTTACACTCGAGATGTTGAGAATTACGGAGTGGATACTATATTCAAAACAAGCGGAGATAAGGAGACATCCCAGGCGAGGAAAGATCAGAAGCAATACAGAAAAGGGCATGCTCCTATTTTGGTAGCATTGACTAGATGTTCAACTTCAATGAGGCACCTGACTTACAGGGGTTGGTGCTAATGTACTTCAAAGAAACACTGGCACCTAGAATGGCTAATACAGATATGTTGGCCAGATGACACCTGAAAAACAGCGAGGATTGGTGCTCATGGAAATACTTTCCTCATTCCCACCAAAAATATGCATTCCAAATACTTTCACTGCTTGCCAGTAACCATAAAAGTTACCTATGCTGCTACTTCATGATGGGGTACTAATGAGAAATATATTCTTTTAGAATTAGGATTAGAAGAACGCCCTATTAAAGAGTTTAACATGAAAATAACTGAAGAAATTCAACTTCTGTATAGTTCATAAAGATAATTAAAAATGATGGCAAATTCCCTATGGTCTTTAAACAAATAATCTTTAATAATCTTATTCAGCCAATTGAAGTACAAATAAAATGTATCTAATTTCTAATGTTTATTTTGCAGTAAGTGTGTATTACGTACGGGTATGCCAACATACTCTTTACCCCATCTCTGCTCGTGCGCGCCTTGGTCTCTTTGGATCAATGGTTCTTCGTCGAGTGGTGTCCCCGGGGGTGCTTTACTCGAGGTGCTGGACTCGTCCCGGCACAGAGGTGAGTCCAGTACCTCGAGTGGAGCACCCATGGGGACACACATCTCGAAGAACAGATGTTACTGCACAAGGTGAGTAACTCTTTCATATCCTGGATCCAGCAAGGAATCGCCCATGGTTACATAAAGGGAATTCAGGGATATTCAGAGTACCAAATGGTTCTTGGACTTGGACTCAGCAGACTGTAGTACATACACTGAAGTTATTGTGTATTCCTAGGTGTTTATGAACAAAGTTAACTAAAGTTATGTCTACACAAGACACCTTGCAGCAGCACAGTTGTGCTGTTATAAGGTCTCCCATCTAGCCACTTTTTGCCAATGGGAGAAAGCACTCCTGTTGGCATAATTAAACCACCACCAACGAATGGCAGTAACCATGTCAGGTGGATAGTGTCTCCTGCTGATCTAGTGCTGTGCACACCAGCACTTCTGTGATGTAACTGATCGCTCAGTATGTTTATACACATTTGATCAACAAAAGTGCTAGTGTAGATATAGCTTAGGTTACTTTTGCAGAGAGTAGCTAACCACACAAAGCTCCACATTGCTCCAGATAGAACTGAGATAAGGGGCACTGTCAACTTTTATATTAGTATTTCAGATTATTCTCAAATTCAAATAAACTTTCATAAAACCCCAAAGCAATGAACAGCCAAGAAATCCCAAGCCACCAATGAAAACAGGTTAGACGCAGATCCCCTTCCCGTGCTGTAACCCAAACAACCGCCCCTAGAATCTGAAACTGAAATTGGGTGAACAAAAGTGGTATGAATTTCATGTTTTAAATCAAATGAAGGTAAAAAGAAATAAGGAACATAAACAGGGAAAAGTTCCTTTGAATGTAATTATTTTCTACATTTGTAATAACATAAGATGTTTGTAATGCAAGAGCTAGAATTTTTTCCACTAACGGTGTCCTTTGAAATGTCAGTGATCTGTTTTACCCGGCACAGGCACTAGTGGTACAGTGTGCTCAGCCACATTACTGAGTATGAACACTGAGTTCACTGGAGTGCTTAGAAGAAATTGCAGGACAGGACAGAATGCAGGGGGAATGCACTTTCTTTCAAATACTGCAGTTTTAGCCTTAATACTAAAATTGGCCATCAGAAGATAAAAAGCATGATATCTGCATGTAAGTTTTACATCTCGCTCAAAGGTAATAAAACCGACAGCAACTCTATTACCAGAATGAATGCACTTGCTAAGGGCTTTCAGAGGTTGTCCTAGGAAACTCACATTGTACTATTTCAGAACAGTCCGTTACAATGCACGTATTAATATGGCAAGACACATTAGTATGGGTTTTCATATATAAAGGAAGTCTCTCAAGCTACTAGTGTAACACGCATGTGACCAACTTATAGACAGGGGAATAGAACACCTTTGACACTAATTTATACTGCAGGGATATTCAAACTGGAAAGACAAACCAGAGCCACATTATATTGCCACCAGTAGTCTGCAGGCAAATAAAGAACCTTAATGCAAATTGACTTTCAACAATCATATCTGAAGAAGTAAAAAAAGCCCACACCACAGCTGACCCCTCCCCTTCTATCTTTATAAAAGAAGTTTGTATCTGCTGAGTTTCAACATGGTTATTTCAAATAAAATGAAATATGAACAAGGAATATGTTAAATCTAGCCTTTGATAAAGAGGGATGTTTCCCTTCCAATTTCACAAACACATATCAAATAATACTAAGAAGTGTACAGTGTTTTAAAAAACCAAGAGATAAAAATTGGAACAGTGATCTGTTATATGCAGGTTAATTGGATAGCAGGACTGATTCAGCCTTGCTGTGCAATACAATCCATTAAGGGCGTGAACCTTTCCAGGACTGAAAGGGTCCACTCAGAAAACCTGAGATCAATGGCACTTTAATTTAACTGCTAAATGAACAGGCAGAATGTCATGAGCTACAGATGAGGGACAATACTTCAGAAAAAACTAGGGTAAAAGAACTAGAATAATTAGTTGGAAACTTGAGGAAAGCTGAAGTGTAGCCTTACTATCTTTACCTTTTAAAGACGAGAGCCAGTTGTTGGGTGCATGTACAAAACTTTGTAGACTTACTGAATTATACTAGTAGGATTTTTCAAACTCCGATCACATATTCTACCCTATTTATGCAATATCCAAATAAAGGGGCATCTTGGCCAGTTTATCCCAAACATTAATAGGAAGTCTCTTTGGTTCACTTCCTGTAGCATCATCTTTATTACAACTGCAGCACACTCACTTCAGGAGTCCTTTGCAGAGTTCAGACAAAAACAAAACAAAACAAAAAATCAATACTAACTCAGGCAACTAGGTCAATGTTAGCATTTTGTTGCTGTAGGATAAAACAGACAAGGGCAGAAATATGCAACAACAACAAAAAAATGATTGAAATTGCATGAAATGGGACAGTAAGCAGCACCAAGCCATCTTGGCTACAGAAAGTCTACAGTGGTATCTTCCTGCTCCCAATATGCAACACTGCAAGCATCATCCCAGAGCTGCTGGTAGAAAAACAGAAGAACAGGGCATCTTTGGGTTAAAAAAAAGTTAAAAATTTGCTACTAAAAAGTCGAACCTGAAATAAAAGGGCCAGCATAATATGGCTTACAAAACCCCAATTTTGCATACTGTTTAAAAATTTAAAAAACTGTTTTCAAACTCTCAATCACAACCAAATAACTAAATTAAGTCTGTTTGTAACTGAAAAATTATGAAAATATCTGTCTTTTGTTCAAATCACATAAAAAATCCTCAACAATACAATGTAATATTTTCTTCTGAAAACTAAATTGGAAGATCTACTCTCAGCAGATTTAAGTGTATTACACACCATGTTTTATGAAGTACAATTTATTGATTTCCATTGTATTTGCTTTAAATATGATTGAAGCTGTCTGCAGAAAAGGGATGCTGAAATTTTTAAGTTAAAAATAAACTAATGGTGAAAGAACATCACCTCTGGCTTCTGTCAATGCCTCGTTATATCATATTTTATTAATAAAGTTCCAGGGATGTTGGAGGCCTCTCCCAGCAGTGTCCTTAGTTTTGTGTCAGTCTCCTGTGCCAGAGGTGAGCGTGCTTTCAAAAATACTGCCATTTGCCCAGTACTGTGTCTTTGATTGCATCAACATATTGAGTAGGTACCCAGTAGACCCAGTAGTAAGATGCTTCTGTAGGGCCCAGTTGAAATGCCTGCAAAATTAAAAGGACAACAGGTAGCATTTACAGACTGGAAACAAACAGAACAGGGGTGGTCAGACAATCTGAATGACCAAATCATTTAATCTACTGCAACTACTGCCTACTCCAAATGCCCCTACCTTGTACTTAGAGCAGACTCTGCAGCACAACTCTTAAAAAAAAATGTAAACCAATGAGCTCAGTGCATAGGGCTGAGAAGCCAACAAAGGGCAGAGGAACATGGCTACATGGAAGCAGTTGAAATTGTAGCAAGTATTTTGTATATTTAAATGTTAAATACCGTTATCCACTTATTCTGACTGATGTAACAGGAGAGAGAAGTATAAAGTGGCGACAGCTTCTCTCCTTGCAGTTTGAGGAATAGTTTTATACCCTAATGTGAAGAGGCTGCTTTTTCCACCTGAGTGATCACAAGTGGACCGTTTGGAAAAGGCATGGAACAGCTTCCTCTTGCAGACAGTAAGTTTTTGCTCAAGGCATTTTCCTACCACAGAGAGAAGTGGAATTTCTGTCCAAGAAACGTATTTAAACATTACAAAGTTTAGTCACCGGGATATTCTTTACCAAAAAAAGCCTGAACTGGAGGGGCCGGAGGGGAAAAAGGAACTCTTGGACTTTAAAAAGCCCCATAGCAGAATCAGCATTACCCTCACTTGATATATATGACTTTCTTAAACACAATACCAACATTTCAGAGATTCAATTCAATACTTTCAAGTGGGGGGTGGGAAAATTCTTTACTCCACTGAGGCAGATAGGGAAGATGAATGGAACAGGAATTAATACAGGGAAATACCACCATTAGCAACCAACCAAGAGCTAAACTCTTCTCTGACAAAGGAACCTTACCACAAAGAGAAAATGATCGGGAGGAAGTTCAGTCTAGGACTACTAACTTCCTCCTACTGTAACTGTCAGTTAAGTTCTGACTGAGTTAAAAAGTGCTCTGGCATAGTTTTTTAGAGGACAGTAATGCTGAAGATGTGGAATTCTTACTGGCATCAACAGTAGGGACAGAAGTGTTGTTACAAAGGAAGAAACTGAAAAACAAATATTAAATATGCATACAATCAGATCGGCTGATGGGCAGGTTTTCAGAAGAGTTCAGTACCCAATATGCACCAAACAAATTGAACTTTTCTGAAACATCTATCCCCAAGTATAATGGTACAAACATTTCTGACTGAAGCTGCATTGTCACTGCAAACCATAGGATTTTAAATTCCTTGAAAGCTTGTATGGAAACAGTCCAGTATCCCAAAATCATGGCAAGCATTCAGCTTATATTGTTCAGAATATTCACTTTGTAATAGTAGACCATAGGGTCAGACTTGAAGCAAGTAAAACCTTCAAGGCTGTCAGCCTTTAAGTTATTCTAACTTAAACCTCTTGTTTCAGTGTATTAGCATCAAGTGATTAATCTGTTGTTATTGAAGCAAAGGAATCACTTACCATCATGTGGTAATCCTCATGTCCTTCAATAGGTTCACTCACCACATTTTTAATGGACCCCATGGGTATTTTTTCTGTTCTCTCTACATTGAAATGGATTAAAAATAATGTTTGATATATCAGCAGTGCTTTGCTACAGTGCCACATGTCTACTTCAGACTGGCTACAGGCAGGGGGTAGCAGCATGCAAGCAATTCAATGTAATTCCAGTTTCTGCCACCTACATTCTGATGACTCATAGGGTATGTCTACACTTGCACCCTCTTTCGAGAGAGGGATGCAAATGAAGACATTCGAAATTGCAAATGAAGCTGGGATTTAAATATCCCACGCTTCATTTGCATATTCGCATTATGGCGCTATTTCGAAATAACAGACGCTGTTAAGATGCGATTATTTTGAGAGAAAATCCTTCTCTCGAAATAACTGGTAAACCTCCTTAACAGTGGGATATTTAAACCCCAGCTTCATTTGCAATTTCGAATGTCTTCATTTGCATCCCTCTCTCGAAAGAGGGTGCAAGTGTAGACATACACATATTGTGCCAGGTAGCTCCTCTAAATATCACACAACCTCATTTTCTTCAACAACCAATATACGACCCTAACCTTGCAAACACTTATGTACGTGCTTAGCTTTACTACTGTGAGCAGTCCCATTAAAACTGATAAGACTCACAACTGTAAAGTTAGGCACATACAAAACTGTATGTGGGATCAGGTTCTAACAGTAGAAAACAAATACCTTTTTTCATCCTTCCAATTTCTGTATAGTTTAGGTATGAAAAAGTGTACAATTCTCTATCAAGATCTAGTTCTGTCTCCAGCACAAGTCTGCATTTAATTATTATAAAAAGGTACTACAAAAAAAGGAAGGGAAACATTAAAGTGAGAGTGTAAAAGAGAGAAAAAACAAGAGATATTGAAAAAAATATGATCACGTTACAAAACAACAGATTAGGTAGTCAAAACAACAGATTAGGTAGTCGGTTGTGGCAAGGAGGAATTACTATACTATAAAACTCACAATGGATTTCTTCCATTGCTTTTTATCTATGAAATATGTCCTCACTTCCTCCGTTAGACTTTTAATTGACATTTTTCCTTTTCACTCCTACTTCCATCACCCATGTCAGTCTGACACTCATTTCATCTTGCTGAGAACAGGACACAGATAAAAACCAAGCTCAAACTGGGTTTTGCCCACACAAGCTTATGATACTATATATTTTTGTTAGATTCTAAGGTGCCACAGGACTACTCATTGTTTTTATAGAAGCCAAGCTAGGCACACCTTAAATGAGGAACACCTTTTGAAGTGCAATCCAGAAAGTGGCAACTGCTTGGAAAAGAAGCATAAGAAAGTGCTAAATATTTTTACACCACAGAGAATACAAAAACCCAATATTCTTCATTTTAATGCAGTTATTACCCTGACACTATGACAGTCACAGACCAAGTCCAATCTAATTGATGGAAGGATGATCATTTACTGTGTTACATTACAGATAAAGAAAAGAGGCACAGTCAGGGGAATTTGCTTGCCTTAGATCAGTGTTTCTCAGGGTGAGCAGTGGGCCCACTTTGAGAAAGCTGCCCGTTTGTTTACCTAAAGGCTTCATAGTCACAGAGCCTTGTGGCTCCCATTGGCTCTGGTTTGTCATTTCCTGCCAAGGGGAGCCGTGGAGAAACACTGCCCTAGATCAAAAGGTGGTTTAGAAATATTTATCATCACAATTTGATCATTCAAAAACAAAGAACACACCTGCCAGTAATGAAATGGACAGCAGCTCTGAATGGACTGTACCAACTCCCAGCTCATACTGTAACACAACTGTGTCTTCATCAATCATTTAGCCAACAAAAATGAGTCAATGTACAGAATTGGTGCCACGAATTCATATTTTTCAAGTCCATAAGCGACCATGATGGTAATCTAGTCTGACCTTCTGGACATCACAGACCCAGGGTGCATCTACATAGCACCCTAAAATCGAAAGAAGACATGCAATTTGCACTGCACAGATTGTGTATCTTATTTCGAAAGTATTTCGAAATAGCTTATTTTGAAAACTGGCGCATCTACACAGCCCCAAATTTCAAAATAAGGTGCTATTTCGAGACATCCCTTATCCCTTGTGCAACGAGGTTTACCGGGTTTGCAAAACAGAGCACCCGTTATTTCAAAAAATATTTCAATATCTTGTGTAGGTGGGGGTAGTAATTCAGGATACCTCTGGTATCCTGAAATAGCTGTGCAGTATAGACATACCCTCACAGAATTCACTTAATCTCCTGCTGGGCTCTGGAAGGAGATCAGTACTGTATGGGAAGTAAAGTTTGCAAAGCTCAACATAAGCATTAATAGTCATCTTGCAGCAGGCAATTGTCATCCAAGCCAACATAATAATCCAGTTAAGGTTCTACTCGGACAAAAAGTTCCCCCCATTCATCTCCCCCATCTTTGCAGCATCGTCCTGTTTTGGCTAAGGGAACGAGGCATGGGTTCTCTTCGTTACCTGAAAGGAAAGGGGTTATTTGACAGCAATGTCCTCTGCGCACTGCTACCTCCACAGCACTTTCAGCTCCTGCTGGCCTGCCTTCAAGACTGTACACTGAATTCCCTGCACATGCTGTCATCTCTAAACTAGACTGCAATTACACAGCACTGAAATGAGTCATCCAGAGTATTTGAGTTCCTAGAACAATTAATGAGAGCGGTGACAGTATTCCTAGCAGTATCCCAGCTCAGAGACCCTCTGTGGCTTTAGACAAGTCACTGAGTCTCCCAGCGCTGTGGGGATTAAACTGCTTATGAAGTGCTCTGAAGAGAAATGTTATTAATACTAAGTATTATAATCCACAATTCAGAGCAATGTCGAAGGATAGATTATGTCACAGAGGTCACGGATCTCCCAGGCGCCAGCCCCAGAGCTCCGAGCTACTATGCTGGCTCCCCACCTCCCTCACCTCCAAGCTGGGCTTTGGCTGTCAACCCTCAAACCCCCTTTATTTTTAGCAAAAAGTCATAGATAAGGTCACAGGCTTCAGGAATCTGTCCATTACTTTTATTAAAAATAACTATGGCAAAAATCTTACCCTTAGTTATGGCTTACGGTAAATGACCGTATTTAAGCTTTCCAATTACAAATATGTAAAATATTTTGTAATATTCGCCACATGAAGAAAGCGTTTCTGGGAACGAAACAGAGTGAACATTTGATTTGGAAAGATTAATATAAAAAAGCAGGAGCTATTCCTTTAATAAAGTTTATTTTTGACCGAAACTCACATTTATGATGGGACTGCCAACAAGGTACCCAATCTGCCACTGCTAGCAGCAAATATCTCCAGTGGTTGGGGACGTGATGCTACATGGGGAAGGCTCTGAGTTGCTACAGAGAATTCTTTCCTAAGTGTCTGTCTGGTGGATCTTGCGCACGTGCTCAAGTTCTAATCGACTGCCATATTTGGGGGAGGGAAAGAATATTCCCTCAGGCTCGATTGGCAGG